GTCTTGGTAGTTCAGTACTAGTTCTGGTAGGTTCCCAGTTCCATGGGCCTCTCTCTTGGCAATCAGCAATCTTGTGTTAATCATTCTCCTTTATCTTTTCTGCAGGCTCAACGGTTGGGTCATAATTTCAAGGAGGTCTTGGCAAGGTACGGTGAAGATGAACTTCCCCTTAAAGAGACGGTTGCAGAACTAATGATGGACAGGACGAAAGATGATTCAAGCATGCTACCAGGCATATTTCCTCCTGAGGTTGAATACCATTTAAGTTCCATATATGTAGATGTCAGCCGTCCCCAGGTAACCTTAACATGTTCCTTCCTCAATTAAAAAAGGTTCACAACCAAGTTAGAGTAAGTCCTTAAGGATATAGGCTCCTGTGCAGGGGCGTTATGGCACCAGAAACCAGTCCGCGTTGTCCGTGAAATCAAATGGGGAGGTCTGCTTTCATGAAAGATATTTGGACAAGGATCTCTGGAAAGAGCAGACGGTAACTTACCAAATAGAGATGGCAAAATAGATCATCGGCTACACAGCCTACACTCATGAGGAAGTGACTGAACTAGTGATAATAATTTCCTTGTTTTCATTTTGCTGTCGCCTTATAATCATGGAATGGTTATCAAATCGTTCAAATTCTCAACTTTAGAGTAACTATAAAAACAAATAAATTACTCCCCAGAAAAATTGGTTAAGAAATTTGACTGCTTTCTAAATTTCTCCAAAACTAGACGAATGCCTATCACTCTTGAAGGTGATTAACTTCAACTTTTACCCTGATTTTATTTTAAGAAAAATTACAATCTCTTCCATTCATTCTCCTTATGTTGTCTCCAATAATTAAATAATTATCAGACCAATTCTCGTTTAAGATGCCCACTTTGTACATTTTGCAGAAGACCTCTTTTTGGCATGCAGTGGCATTCTGATATGACAAAACATATATTAGTCTTTATTTCCAGCTAAACCACATTAATTATTTCAATAAACATCTCATGGACTAAGCTAATTTCATTTATTTACTGAGAAAACATACACTTTTCAAGTCATAATAAATACACTACTCCAACATGGAAATTAACCAAGTTTCAACTCGTTTGCTGACGCCAACATACTTTCTCTAACAAGAGAAAGCCTTACACTACAAACTAAAAAACCCTTATTCTCGTATATGATGGAAACAGCATTTTGCGTAAGCTCGCTCAAGCATGAGAACATTGGAAATTAAACCACAGCTGCTCAAGAGGCACAAGTGACGCAGGTGCAACCCGTGCCACACTTGCAAACCAGCTTTCCGGTCCCAGCAACTTCAGCCCTGGTGCATGTGCATGGATTGCACCCACAATGCTCCCCGCACGAGCACAGCTTGTGGTCTGTCCCACTCGTAGTCTCGCTTGCTGTGCACCTGTTTGATTGTTTCCAAAAAATCATGATCATCGAAAAGTAATCACCCTTAGTTATGATGGAATTACATATCCCACCCTCATTAAAATCTCTCTAGTTTAATTTACTGCACAGAATGTGCCTGTGGCTGTGGGGTAACATCATTAACATTGGCGTGGTCGACGTAAACCCTTAGACCTAACAGACCGCCAAGTAGGCCATGGATTGTACCACTATAACATGGCAGAGTACCAAATTAGAGGGGGGCGGGCACGACAGTTGGGCAGTCACAACACACTCTATAACTGCCTATGGACGGCTCGTCAGAGCAAAATATCTACAAAAGATACTGCGCACATGCGAGCGCACGAATGGCATGTCAGAGCAAAATTTAAACGATCCTTATCCGCCAGTAATAGCCTTGGCTCATTTTTAAAAATAGCCCCAAATTGTCCAAATTGTACGGATCAACATAGGTCATAAAGAGAGGAAACTAACCTGCAAGCCCCGCCACCGGGGCACGGAGAAGGACAGCCACAACTGTCGTTACACATGGCGACCCCTTTAACTTCAGCCCTGGTATCCGCCATTTTTCGGTACTCTTCGTCTTTGCTGCAGTTTGCGGAAGCTCTGAAACTCCCAGTACTGCCTTTAAATGGTAGTATATAAACGTTGCATGTAAACCAACTGGCGGAAACGAATTGTGGGAAACCAACACATGGCGATACGTGTCAAATATGTTTCATCGAGGATTCGAGAGATCACGAAGCAAGCTGCCGTGTCGCTACAAACACATGCACGTACACAAAATCCTCAATTTGCTTTATCAAATACCGGTTTTGCTGGGATTTTAACATCTGTTGATTTGCATCAATCTCAACAATAAGAAACTGAAATATACATAGAATTTAATTGAAACTTTTTCTCTAAATTGAAGTAGAGCCAATAACGAGAGGAGTAGGGTAGGACGACTTAAAACATATATATAAATGACACTATATAAATTAAATGCATGAATGATTGAACCTTCCTAAAACTAAAATAATCATGGCATAACCGATGATGTCGAATTATCTCTTCAACCAGGCCTCTTCGATTTCTACCCTTTTGACTTCATTTACTAATCCTTATGGATAGCACAACATTCTAATTCAATTCGAATTGCATCGAGAATGAAACGTTTCAAAGTAATTTTCCACCCATTCACTTTACAACGTGCGTGATATTGATGACAACTTTTCAGAGTTGTGCCTTATTATACTATTCAAGGAGGCCATTCTACATTACCTTAATCAATTGTTCAAGTCTATAGAGCATGTTTTGCATGGAGGTAGTACCTTCTGCAAAATTTATTGTCAGTATAGGACACTTAATTATTCAGGTGTGAGCCACCAGATGCTGGTCAGGCCTTTTCCTAATCTTTTGTGGAAAAGCAAAGAGGGAAAAAATTGTCTAGGTATTTGTAATTCTCAATTTGAAATCAAATTTATGACTCTGTACAAGTTGTAGTACCATATTCAATTTATGACCGCCATTGATAATTAGTGTTCAATTTATAACTGTCATCTGTGAGTTGAGCCAGGACAGACTCGCCTATCAATAAAAAAGAAAAATGTTTTTTTATAATTAAGCTTAAATAAACAGTACTATAATAAAATTTTTATAAATTAATATTTTTTGAGATTATAAAAATTTATTAATTTATTAAAATATTATTTAATAAATAAATTAATAATTTATTAATTTATACAGTAATTAATAAAAATTAATTTGTTAAGATATTTTATTATTTTTTTAAAATATTAAATTTAATACATGTATTGTGTTATTGTAATTATAGAAATATTATCTGATTACTACATTATGAAAGAAAAAATTATTGACATAAAAAATGACAAAGAAAAATGAAATTGAAGACAATCAATCTCATGTAAAAATACATTCAAAACAATAATCACATGAAAACATTACCTGAATTTCTTAATACACTAAAAAAGTTTAAAAATAAAATTTTATAAAAAAAACAAGTGACATTGAAATTATGTTTTACAAAAATCAACATTCAAATAAAAATCGATCAAAACAATTATTTAATCAAAATTATTAATTTATTAAATTTTACTATATTTGTTATTAAATTAACAAAGCAATGACTTTGGCCAGATAGAGCTCAAGCTTACAAATCCTACCCAAGCCAAGCACGATCCAAGGCTAAAGTTTGGGGGAAGTATGTTTCATTAGTTCATTCACGAATAGCATCTCGCGTTCATTGTGGCCATGTCCGAGATTTATCATAGTATAATCACTCTATAATCCCTTTCATTTGCTGACAATTTGAGAGCTTAGGAAATAATCAAGTATGCATGGCTAGTTGGCAATTTATTCGTCAAAGACAATTGAATAGCTCCAACCATCCGTCATCACATCACAACGTCCACACTTTTTGTCTTTTCGATTTTCGTAACACTCACTTAATTGTGTTACATCATATAAATTTATGTCCAAAAGAAAGTAAACAGCATAAACGACATGAAAAAAAAAAAGCGCAAGCACGGTTGTAGACGGATCAAGAACTTAGGATGCGCAAGTAGTGCAAGTACGGCCATCCCCACACTCGCAAAAGGCCTTGCCAATGCCCGTCCCAGCTACAGCATTCTCCTTAGAACTCTGTCCAAGAAACAAATATGCTACGCTATACAATCTGGGTTTTATCTTTGGCAGGATACCTTTCACTAGTTTTATTGATAAGAGTAAGGATAAAAATCAAAGAGTTCTGACATGGGGAACAAAACACAGACAATTAATCAAGTCATTTGTCAATCAAATCTTAGTTTGGACAGACTCACTTTTTTGTTTACAACTTTTTCCTCAAGGTTAAAGTGTTTTTCTGCCTTAATCTACTCAGGTTATAATTTCAAGGCAGAATAGAAATTTAGACGTGTTATGCTACATTTTTTGCAGAGACAGTACGGGTGATATTTATTTGGTCGACCTTATGCAGCAGCATCCAATACGACGAATAAATTCCCAAGAACAATACCCTCAGTGGAGGCCCTGAAATATGGTACCCCACATCCAAGTATGGACCAAAACAATAAAGGATCCTTTTACCAATGTGTTCCTATGCAAAATATCTGTCTCCAAGCCCCCTAGGACAGCCTATATATCTAATCCTTTGCAAGATAATTATCAGCTCTTCATTAAAAAAAAAAAAACCAAGATAAAAGAACACTCAAACATTTAATTTATTAATTAATATATTATCTTGTATTTAAAAAATAAAATTTAAATCATTTCTCACTTAATTATAAAAATAAAAAATAAAACAAAAGAACAAACACAGATATAGAGAAAAGAGAGAGAAAGACCTGCAGGCCACACCACCGGGACATGGAAAGGGGCAGCCAAACCTCTCATCCCAAGCAACACCACTTCTCCTGGCCCTCAATACGTTTAGTTTTCTCTTTGAATCCTTCAAATCCAATCCCACTGGTTTCTAATGGAATGCAAAAACCAGGTCTACGTTTCCATCTCTTTTGGCAAATGAATGCGAACTTTATAAATGCTCTTTGCACAATTGTTTTGCATGAAAAACAGGTGGCACCGGCAACTACAAAGGGGCCAACAGATGGGCCTGTACGTGGCGTGAACCACTCATATGCTTTTCGTTGCTCTCCCAAAAATGTCAGCATATTATTTAGGATCATCGCACTACATTACATAATGACGAACATTAATTGTGTAGATGTACCATGTACCTGACACTTATAGGAGATAGATGATTGTTGAATAATCTTATATTATTTAATTATAATGTAATTTAAAAATTTTTATTTTTATTTTTATTTTTTTATTATTATCAATCAAATCTTTATATTTTTATTTTAATCAAAAAAAATTTACTAACTATCTTTAGTTAAAATATTATATTTCTTTTATATATGATGTGATAATATATGATATGTTGAATATTTGACTCATTGGTTGATACATTATCTCTTTACTTAATAAGTAGGGTTTGAATTCCCTTTTCTCAATTATAAAAAAAAAAACTTGATTGTATACTATTTTTTATTTTTTTATATAAATTATTATGTTATAGTAAATGATGACATAATATGATAACGTGATTACAGGATATTTTTCATAAATATAAAATAACAAGAAAAATTTTGACTAATAATAATATATTAATCATTAATTATAAAAATTTATTTAATTTAAAATAAAAATATAAAAATTTAATTAAATATAAAAAATATTTTTAAAAAAATACAAAAAAATAAAACTTTTTTAAATACTTTGAAACTTTTTTAAGAGTAATGCTATTATATAATTATTATATTATAATGAAAAAGTTGCAGGTGAAATGTTTCCATCTGGTATTGAACATTGGGATTCAATTTCTTGTAGAAACTTATTTCAACCCATTTTCAAAATTCCATCTTTTATATACAACTTGAAATATTCAAATAAATAAAGAATAATAAAAGTAAATTCATCTATATAAACTAGTTCGATCCCAAAGGACCGAGGAACGTGAAGTGCATAAAAAATGTACCAAGGATCGCCCCAACTACACGCAAGTGCCTGACATCTGTTGGACGAAGACTCTGATTTTCTGTGACCTCCCCAGTCATAATCCGAAGGAGAAAACTGAAGCAAATTATTGAAAATACAAAAAGGAAATGAAAGCAAGAATTTGGAGGTATTATATTATGAAGAGTAGCAGTACATTATTGAGTGATATGTATACATACACACATATATATATATATATCTCACCCCAGTCCTGGCTATAATTTGCTGACAGATTACTTTATATATTTTTTTAAATGCGACAGATCACTGTTATATGGTAGGAACAGTTGTTACCTCCAATAGAGGTATCCCCAGGGAGACAGAGAGAGGTCGTGATGGAGACAAGAAGTTTGTTTTGAACTTCCAGTTATGTATACATGCCAAAGTTTTTGATGTCCCATTGAGAAAATTGCAGTTTTAGAATTAATCTTGCCTTATTTGTGGTGTGATTATTGATGATTCCCGTTTGAGGGCGTGTCAACGTCATCCTAATTTCTGTACCTGCCCCCATGAGTCTTGCCTTTCCATGTCCCACGTTTGAGCTATGGCTAAATCTTGTTCTAAATTAAATAACATAGATTGAACATTACAAAGCTATTATATCAGGGTACAAATTTTGCAGTAGTATCATATTATTGTGTCACTGGCTCTTTTGCCGTCATCACTTTGGGTTGCTTCAATTCTTTGGGTTCAGGAAAATCTTGCACTGCTCTTTTTCCAGAATGGAAAAGGTTATTCTACTGAATGAGGCAGCCAGCTAATAAAACATCAACTGGGGTATTTTCTTCTTGTGTAATCACTATCAATTTCCTTGAACATGACTGCAGGAACAAGTAGTTTCATTAGGAGTGGCTTAACCCAAATGATGAAAACTCAGATGCAGGGGTTTTTCCTTTTTTGTCTTTTGCTGATATTGAAGCATAACTCCACTTTGAGCTGAGAGGTAACTCAGCGCCAAAGCCTATCTCTCTGTCAATTGTCTCTTTGTTCGGGAAGGTTTTGCTCCTTCATTACAATGCATGTGGCTTCCCAACTCAACGATTGGGACAGTGTTGCTCTGTGGGGTCCCAGCTGTGGCCCACGCTGAGATAGATTAGGTAGCCATATGAGGCCTCATATTACGGATATTTTTCTCCTTTTCCTTCACTAATCAACTGTGTTC